CAGGAGGCTGAACCCTCAACAGTCTGCAGAATCCCCTCACTGATTACACTGTAAATGATAATCTACCTTAACCAAAATCAAAGTAGACTATCACTCACCCACACCAGATATCATCACAAACAGAACTGCCCGGTAAACCATAGGCAGAGAGAGAGAAGAGGACAACAAACAAGGGGCTGTGACAAACTGTTTCGTCGGAGTTTCACCGACTCATCAGGAGGCTGAAGGGTTGCTGGCGTTCGGGACCGGCCGAACACCCGAACCCGAACGCCCAAACGTTTGGGACCCCCTCTCGACGCGTTCGGACGTTCGGTCAAACGCGGAACCAAAAAAAAAAAAAAAAAAAAAAAAATCCAAAAATTCTGAAAAAAACAAATATGTCATGCAGAAGAATAAACTAAACAACATTTGCCTCAACAGTACATCCAAATTCCTTACCAAAATTGAAATAAAAATCAAATACGAAAAATAAATAATATTAATGAAAATAAGAACAAATAAAACGAGAATGAAATTATTGCGTGGGCGAGCAAGTTTTTGACACCGCCATCTTTGGCGATTTTTCATTTTCTTTTGGCTCTGTCAAATGCCATGAAATTTTATACATATGTATCTTACATAATAGAGAACCTACAAATAAAGTTTGAAAAAATAATAATGTTTTTCAGGCCCCGAAATAAAGGGAAAACAAAAAGTGAAAAGAGAAAAAAAACAAATTAGTAAGTGGGAAAGCAAGTTTTGACACCACCATCTTTGCCGATTTTTCATTATTGTTTGGCTCCACAGAATGACTTCAAAATTGAGAGACAGATAGCTTACATAACAGAGAACTCGCAAAAAAAAAAATCAGAAAAAAATAATAATTTTTAGGTACCAAAATATTTTTTTGCGGGGTCCGAACCCCTTCGAGTTCGGGCCCCGTACGGAGACCGGGGCCTCCGTACGTTCGGCCTGGCAACCCTGTATATATATACAGGGTTGCCAGGCTGAACGTACGGAGGCCCCTAAGCTGACCCCCGAACGTTCGGGCGTTCGGGTCCCCGTACGGGGCCCGAACTCGAAGAGGTTCGTACCCCGCAAAAAATCATTTTGGTACCTAAAAATTATTATTTTTTTCTCAGAAAACAAAAGTTCTCAGAAAAATCTGAAAAAATATATATATGTTATGTAAAATACACATACAAACAACTTTTGCCTGGGAGGTATGTTCAAATTCGTAACCGAATTCGAGTTTTAAAAAACAAAAAAAATCAAAAAATCATTTAAAAAATATGATCAACCAAACACGTTCCGGAGGTGTTAGACCAAACACGTTCCGGAGGTGTTCGGCCAAACACCCGAGAACATGTTTGGGCGTTCTGGAAAGCCCCGAACATATTTTTTAACTGATTTTTTTAAGTTTCTACACAGCTCCTTAGTAAGGAGGGGTTTGAAAGAGTCTGTCCCTAGTGATGATACTCTTTAGAAGAAGATTCTGGGTAAGAGTCACGAAAAGAGAAAAGAAAAAGGACAAAGGATAAGCATAGAAGTAAAAAAGGAAATGAAGGACAGAAAGAGAAAGGTAGTGAATGAATGAATGTGTTTATTAGACAACAACCACAACAACAAAAAAAAAAAAAAAAAGGAACATGAAAATTAGAGGGGAAAAATAGGGAGTCCTTCGAGACATGAGTTAAAATCAGAACGATACAGAGAAGGGTAATTAGCATGGCCCCTGTGCAAGTGCGACACACATAAACCAAGAAATGGTCCAGATGTATATACGTTTATTCAAAAAAGAGGAAAAAATAGGGAGAAAGGAAGAGGAGAAAAGTGGTAAGAAGATGCGCAGAGGATCATCATAAGAAAGAGGGAGAGATAGAACATTAAGGAACGAAGCTTTTACCGTTTCGACCATGCCAGTTCCGGAATCGAGCATGGCGTCCAGATCCCCATCATCCTGCGCAACCGCTGCTAGTTGTCTATTCTTCTTCTTCTTCTTCTTCTTCTTCTCCTCTCCTGCCCTCTTCTTCATCTGACGGTCCGCAGAAGGCATTCCTTCTTCTTTCTGACTCCATACTGATTTTGTTGATACTGTTCTCATCCCATCAGTGCTGTTCTTCCCATTCCCAGCTGCCATCTCTCCCCTTGCAGCCTCCTCCTCTTCATCTTCTTCATCTTCATCAACTTCGTCCACCATAGCCATGAGCTGCTGCTCAGCTCTCCTCAGGCTCTGCAGCCTTTCTCTCCCTAAAGCAAGCTGCAACTTACTTGCACCTTCTCTTGCTCTGGAAGCCAATCCAGTGTCAGGAAATCCTCCTCCTCCTCCTCCTCCTCCTCCTCCTCCTCCTCCGCCTTCCACTTGATCTCCTTCTCCTCCTCCTTTGCCTGCCATAGATGCTGTTCTTTCCCATTCACTAACCACTTGTTCCCGACGAGGGTAATCACCGCCTTCTCCCAAACCTCCCTCCTCTGCACCCGAGGACTCCACCCATACACTCCCACCATGTCCATCTGCTTCTGGAGGCTGGGAGAGCGCCCTCACCCCATCCTCCACAGCCGCAATCTCTCGCTGAACAGCGTTAAGTTGTCGTCGAAGAGTATTCACCTTCTTCTTCGTCTTCTGCTCCTTCTCATCATCTCCCCGGCCCTCAGCCAAAAAACCTCTATCCTCTTCCTCCCCTCTCTCGTCCAATAGGGAATCGCCATCGCCGCAACCTCGTTCCTCGGAATCCTCTCCCTCTCCACCTTCTTCCTCCTCGTTCTCCTCGTCGTCCTCCTCGCCCTGGTCCTCGTCAATAGGCCGTTTGCCCTTTCTCTCACGCTCCCGCGCTTCTCGCTCTGCCTGTCGCCCATGTAAGCAACCACGATCAGCATGATTGATTGATTGATTGATTGATTGATTGCAAGATTCGGCCACCTTCACTTGATTGATTGATTGATTGATTGCAAGATTCGGCCACCTTCACTTGATTGATTGATTGATTGCAAGATTCGGCCACCTTCACTTGATTGATTGATTGATTGATTGATTTGCATCATATGATGATTTATTGCTTTCGTTTTACCTGCTTCATTGAAGGATTTACATCGTGCGATTGCTTTCATGTACTTTACTAATCAATTGACTGATTGGTCGGTTGATTCGTTGATTGGTTGATTGCTCGGTAGATTTGCCTGACAAATTGCTTTCTATTTCATGTGATTATCATCACTGGATTTACGTATTTATACCCAATGAAACTACCACCACGATACCCAAAAAAGGTTAGCTGTTTGTCACATGCTATAATGTTTTTTCTCTTTTTTTAAGTACAAGCTATTTAAGCAAATAATTTAAATTTTAACAAGAGGGTTCGTTTCTCCCTATGCTCCACAGGTAGCACTTCTTGAGCCCTTATACGTCGTCATCGGAAACATGGTCGAAAAACAGAAATAAGGCAATGTCTTTTTCTGTCTTTTTCTTCCCCCTTCTAATCGGGCACCATTGTTC